GGGTAAGTACCACGACCTCACAGAAGACCAGCGTAAAGTGGAAGTATGACAAATACTTTCGCGTTTCGTCTGGTGAGTGAGGTAGCCGGAGCCCAATTTTAAAAAGGTTGTCAACGCCTCTGTAACCCTCGGGTGCGGCAGATGTCCATGGGCGGCGGTATTCACTTAACATCAGGTGAACCGTCTGCTCGTTTGACAACTATTCACATAAAAAAAAAAAAACTAGTATTTCGACCGTCTTCAGGTCTTTGTTAGAAAATTAACATTGCAATTGTGTATCGCCTCTTACCAAGCCTAAGTTGACCATAAAGGAGAAATCTTTTCGATCCTTTTCTATTTCCTGTTACAAAAAAACCGCCGCGAAAAATAATGTCTGCTGTATGGGAGCCTCACTTAAATATTTTTTTATTCTCTTTTTTAGTATTTTTTGTTATAGCGGCAACAGAAATACATCATCGGTGAAAATTTCAACTGTCTAACTATCACGGTTCATGAGATACAGACTGGTGACGGTATTAGTATTAGGGCCTATTACCCGTTAGGTACGCCTAACAAAGATGGAGGATATAAAATAAAACAGGAAGGTCGTTAAACATAATAATAAAACTAACTTCTTGTGTGGTATTAATAGAAGTTATATTTCTATCCGGAAACTATAAATCTTCATCTAATGTCGAAACTGATAGAGCTACAAAAAGAATCTCAAAATCAGTACACTCAATCGAAAGTTCTGAGGTAACAAACATAAAAAACAAATACAGTCAAATTGAGAACCTCCTTTGAAGTCTGTTAAAAAAACTTGACCCGAAGAAACTATAACCAACGACTGGTGTATGTAAGTTGCTCCCACAGCCGCAGCGACGTTGGCCAGCTGAATGTCTATTTGAAGACATACCATTTTCAGGTACAGAGCGCTGAAGACAACGATTTTCTGTCACCGAGCCACGTGCACCATAAATCAAAAGCGACAATGTACAGCCAAGGGGACCGCTAACGACCCTCCGCTATAACGCCCATCTTTCAACGTCCCCGTAGCAAAAACGTAGCACGTAGCGCTTTTTGCGTCCAGCTGTGCAAAGTCCTCATTTGAAACTGCAGACGACTAGATCCTTGTAAAGGCTGCGGTATACTTAAGCGCTGTTGAGTCCGAACGGAACTGCCACCAATATCGTGTTTTTGGGTTCCGTACGCAAAGGGTGAAACGGAACCGTATTGACGCAAGTCTCCGCTGCTTCGCGAATAGGCAGGTCCGTCCGGGTAAGTACCGCGACGTCACAGAAGAACTTGAAGTGAAAGTGTTATGTTATACTTCCCCTTTAGGTGAGTGAGGTAGCCGGGGCCCACTTTATTGAAAGGTGGCAACGCATCTGCAACGCTACGGATTTGGAAATGTCCATCACGTGGACCGCCAGCTCGCTTGCGACCTCCAAAAGAGAGCCTATTCCTACCTTAAAGGTCGGCAACGCAATTGCGACTCAACCGATATGTTGCAAATGTCCCAGGTGACCCACATGCTCCTTTGCCTCCTTGTCCCATAAAAAATCTTAAAAACATGATACCTTTCTTACGTAAATATTAATCATCACCATCAGCCACAAGACGTTCGCCGTTGAACATAGGCCCCCTTAGAACGACACTTTGCCATTTGCAGCTACTGGTTGCCCCCGCCTCGTACCATTACGTCGGTCCACCTAGAGGGAGGCCTTCCAACGCTACGTCTTCCTGTCGTGGTCACCACTCGAGAACCTTTACGCCCCAACGGTCATCAGTTCTCCGAGCGATGTGGCCTGCCCACTGCCGCTTCAACTTGCAAATGCGGTGAGCTATGTCGGTGACTCTAAATATAAATATTTGTATACGATATGATGATACGATACGAGGGTCATTTTTAGACGAACATAGACAAAATACTTTGACATAGTGTTAAATGAGCATTCCATAATTAAAAAAAAAGAATATTAATATTTTACTTTGACAAGAAATAACCAGAAAAATATCAATTCAAACATTGTTTGTTTATCCCGTTAAAAGTGGTCAACCTATTGATAATCGGTTTAGTAAATATGGGTTCAGCGAACAGTTTTAGTGTTCGCGAATAGTTTATTATTTCGAGACGGTAAGGCAGGAATTTCTAATAGGGTGGCCATAATGTTTGAAAAAAACTAAAAATAATCTTAAAAAAAATTAGGTCACAAATACGTACCAGATTTAGATTTATAATCAAATTCTTTATCACGCTGTGTTAATATTTGTAATTGTATTTTGATCAGCGGTGTGAGACAATTTCGCGCGGCTCAAGTAACGTAAAAGCACGTTATTGCTAAGTCCTTTCAAGGCGAAGGTTTATACGAGCACTACAATTATGGAACAGCATATATTAACAATGTAACGTGTTCAATATTTGATTTTATGGGCGGTTATTAATCCATTACTCGGTGGTTGTTATCAAATTATACCTTATGTTTTATATTAACGATATTTAATTTTGAAATCATTGAGTGTTGGAACTAAAAGAAACCTATAAACTAAGTCTATTTTAGCGTGGCGCAGTTGCCAAGTTATTTGGCTTCGGCGTCGTGGGTAGTGGGTTTGATTCCCACAGGGAACAACTATTTATGTGACCCAAAAATTGTTGTTTCGTAACTGGTGTTTGTCCGCACGAAACTTATGTTTGTAAAACGTCCTTACAACACAGGATACCTAATATTATCCTAAAGTGAGGACATTGTTTAAGACAAAAAAAACAAAACAAAAAAAATCAAGCCGGTGATAGCTTTTGAATATGTTCAATAAGGTCTTAAAATAAGACTTTACTGAATAAGCAACTTTGATTTTGACTTCGAAACTGGTCCCATCTTTATTGTTAATAATATATGATATAGGAAAACGCTTTCAAAATTCAAAAAATATTCTTTAATGCTTCAGTGAAAGTTCCAAACCAGTTTTTATAAAAAAAAATAACTAAAAAATCCGTTGAAAAACCTTCATTCCACTGGGATATTGGTTCAAATACACGTGTAAAGGCGGTAAACTGGCTAAAGCAATGAAACTAATTTATTCCACTATCGCGAACTCCAGATTCGATAACCTTTGTAGATAAGTTACAGAAATAAGAGCCAAGAGGTATGTCATAATGCGGTTTATTCAATTATTAATGTACGAATAATATGAAACAAAAATCGGTAAACAAACGGACAATAATCAAGAAGGCGAGTTGTCTTAAATCGTGCTAACGTATAAATTGTAAATTGTTTTAATAATGACTAACACTTAAATACTCACCACCTAACCGAAGATTGGGGTGAATTGGAAAATTCTTCTGCGTTCTTTCCGGTGAGTGAGGTACCCAGGTCCCACTTTATTAAGGGGTGGCAACGCATCTGCAATCCCACAGGTGTTGCAAATGTCAACAGGCAGCCGGTATCACGCGGTATTTTTCCAACGAAACTCTCTTTGACTCGTATTCGTTCATTGGTTTTCCTTAATTATGCCTTTGTTTTAATGTTCATCGATTTCTGTTTAACATCTGCTGTGCCTTCCTGGCCATTTTGCCATTCATCCAATCTAGATATTAGCAATATGTAAATTATTTGTAGAGATTTTCAACGGTTTCAAATACCCTTCAGTAAACATGAAATCCTTAATTATTAACAAAACATTTGTGTAAAACCTAATTATTTACAATTTATATTCCAATTCGCTATATAAGGATGTTTAAAATTGTCTCTCTGTCGTTCCGTATTTAAGTTATCACTGGTGCAAGCCTCAACAATAATATTTCCATTTATTAGCACTTGGTTTTAATTTGTTTCTTTTTTTTATCTTTTAAAAATCTTTGCCATTACTTTAGGATAACATTAGCCTGTGTTGTAAGGACGTTTTACAAACACAAATTACACGAGGACAAACACCCAGATGCGAAACAACTATCTGTGGGTCACACAAATAGTTGTCCCGTGTGGGGATCGAACCCACGACCCACGCCGAAGCCAATACCTTGGCGACTGCGCCACGGAGTCATCAATTTTAATTTCCTGTTCTTTTTTTATATAATCTATAAAATGATCAGATAATCATACAACTTTTATTGCTTATTTTACTTTTATTCCTCTTTTATCTTGAATGATTTACTCTATTTTACATAGTTATGTATGCTTAAGCCAATAAAATTACAAGATATCTATGAAAATGAACTGGCGCATATTGCTTTTTTCATAAAAAAAATGTCAAATATTTAAAGTAACAAACATTTTGCATTGTATTAAAACCAATAAATAACAGTTTGTGTTTTCTGTCATATTGTTTTTTATTTTGACATAACTAATATACTTTTTAAATTTCCAAGAATCCGAGAGCCTGATTGCATCCATACTAAAAGAAGGGAAAGACATTCCACTATCTTAATAAGTCGATCAAGATTTTCAACTTTTTAGTATTTAATATTTATACACTCAATTTCACACACCATAACGAAAGAAGAATTAACAACAAAATATATACGGTCGAATTGAGATTACTCCTCCTTTTTTGAAGTCGGTTAAAAAAGGTAACAAAAATGCTTGTACAAAGGGCGGCCTTTGTACAAGAAAAATAGGGATTGTAATTTGGGGAATAAAATAGCGATTTCTTCCGGACAGAACTTTCTTAAAGGTTCTTCAAAAAAATTCTTCTTTAAAAAAATAACCGGGAGTGTGTACACATGAATAAGGGTAATTAGATAACAATTATACGTAGTAAATATATATGCATACTAAATAGACTTTACTGAGGACAAACATGAATAAAGGAAAAGAACTAGATATATAAGATAAATTGGATATTTTAAATTTATTTATATATAGTAAGATAACGCAGGCGACGCTAACGGATTAACGTGACCTTGTTTGCTCTATTTGAGATTACATAAAATACACTTGAGTACTAAATGATATTGACACGGTATATAAACAAAGGTAAGTAAGAACCGTCCCCAACACGGTCCACTCGCACTCCGCAGCCTACTGGACCAGGCCGCAGGTCTTCCCGCTCCTGCCCCTCAACTCGTCGATCCCCACCAGCGCGTCCAGGTCCGCCTTCCGCGGGAGCCTCCTCGCCATCAGGTTCGCAGTTTCCGGTTCCCGCTCGGAGCACTCGTAGCACCTCTCGTAGAGGACGAAGAAGTCGTCATTCACCAGCCGCGCCGCCATGGTCTTCGTGATGCCGCCACTTGTGCAACGTCGGTTCAACGCCGCTGCCACGCCCTGGTAGTCTTCCACCACGATGATGGGTAGGGCTACCATTCCGAACCTCAGCGCCGAGGCGGGCTCCCCGTCGCAGCTGCACGCGTCACCGTCCAGGGTTATGTTGAACCGGTCGCAGGTTCGGAGCTCGGCGGCCGCGCTGTACATAGCCACGAGGGTCCATTCACCCACGAACTTGTTCAGATCCGTCCCAGCGTAAACACTGCTCAGCAGTAGAAGCACAGCCAGCACTCGATTCATGTTAACCGCCTTCGTAATGTCGACTGCATGTAGAGACGATCTCAAATTTGATCTTGTTGTCTCTACCGATAACCCCTAGATAACATTTCTCCGTATACGTGGATAGTTGTTTTGTTGTCCGCGCGTCCGTTGAGAATGCTTTTTTCTATTCTGTCACTACATAATAAAAAAATCTTTATATAGGACAAAATCAAATACAATAAATATAGAATAGCAAAACTTATTAGCAAAGTTAGAAATTTTTGACTTAATTTAGTATCGCTTGTTGTGATTTTATTTATTTAAACTTCACTCATACTATACTGTTAAAAATTATCACTATATTATAAATGACATATACACGTTCAACATACAACTAATATTGTATGACGTAAATATTCTGCTGACTGACTCATATCCTCACCAGCTACAGTTATTATACGAATACATACACGATATCTACTTCTTTTCTTTTTGCTATATGGTTTCGCGAACGTCTATTATTTAAAGTTAAATTAAAACGCGACAAAATCCGTCTGGCACAAGGACAAAACGACTCAAATAATTGACCCGTGTGGGAATCGAACCCACTAATCCGGCACCGGGGACAATACCACAGCAACTCCGTATATTAGTCATAGTACCCGGAGGTTTTTTTTTTTGGTAAATCGTGTATTTTGGAAATTACATTCAGATACAAATTACTGAGTAATGAAATATGCATAATATTTTTCAATCTTACCGACATAATAATAAGAAAATATGAACTGATGTTTTTCACAAAAGAAAGAACTTTAAAAAAAAAGGGAAAAAAATAGCAAAATAACAAATCGACAAAAAATTAAAAATAAAGAAAGCAATGATCTGGAATCGAAAAAAAAGTAAAAAAATAATGTGTTCAGTAAGAAGTCAGAAATAAAAATGATCGTGACGCGAACCACGGCCGTCTGTTTTGGGGCCGCCCGATTACCGACCGAGCTATTATGACATTTTCTCTTGCGGCGAAATTTAACGTCATATTCGAATTATATTTTTCATTCCCTGAAAACAGGGATAAAAGGGCATTTTCGAAAAATGAAACCTAGCTAGATCGATTTTTCGCCCCCGAATCTACGCACATACCAAATTTCATGAAAATCGCTGGAGCCGTTTCCGAGATTCCGGTTATATATATATATATATATATATATATATACATACAAGAATTGCTCGTTTAAAGGATAAGATAAGATTTGTTTAAAAATAAGTTACGCATTTGTTATACATTATCAGCAATGTATTCATGGCCTTGAGGTTTAGTTGGAAATGAAAGATAATATTAACAATACTGACTGTTTATTACCAAGAACAAAATATGCAACATATTTGAACGCGAAACAAACATAAAACGTAGAAACGCATTGAAGCTATCGTTTGAAGCACAAAATTTACAAAGACATTAAAATTCCCGAAACTCTTACGCTGATTACCTTCTATCGGGAGCCTTTTACGCTTCTTCAAAACAAATCGAACAAAAAATTAGTTCCCTTAAGAGCATCATTAAGAATTAACTTGCTCCCTCATTGTTCTCTTTTAGCGACTTAATAATGCGATTTAATAATAAATGCGGACGGAGACGCGGACTTTGCGTTGAGGTAACGCCGAGTACATTTTGTTTATGCTAAGACGAGTAATTATCGAATTACAAAGATTGGGAATCCCATTTTGCTGGCGTTGAAATGATTTAACTCACTTTCCGATTTCATAAATTAAACTCTTATTAATTATTGACATAGTTAATGCAAAAATGACTCGCTGGCGCAGTTGCCAAGGTATTGAAATTGAAAGTTTCAATTTTGACTTTGACTTTCAATAGATTTTCTTTGTTTACTGTACTTTCATTAGGTGTTCATCATTACTAATATTATAAAGGCGAAAGTTTGTATGTATGGATGGATGTTTGTCACTCATTCACGCAAATACTACTGAATGGATTTTAATGAAACTTTACATAGGCTATAATTTGTATACAAGTTTTATGTATATCTGGCTTTCCGTCTGAGTGTTACGCCATCAGCCTATTCTACGCAGACGTAGTCGCGGGCAGCAGCTAGTTATTTAATACATTACAAAAGGTAACCATTGTATTTAAGTTTTCTCAATATGCAGTCAAAATCAATGCCTGCTTAATGAAGAATGTATATGTTAAACTTTCGAAAAGGCAATACGTCCCTCTTCGATACAGACTCGACTAGTGAGGAGACAACCGATATTACATTAAATTAAAACTGATCAAGTGCGAGTCGAACTCAGTAAGTGTTCCGTACCATTATCGATAAAAGCGGTAGATCTTAGTAATAGGGTCCCGTTTTACGCTTTGGGTACGGAACCCTAAAAACCGAGCAAAAAAGTATCGGCAAATTGTACTTAAAGAAACTTTTGCGTGTTTTTTACAAGTAAATTTTAATTTGCTGTGCTTTTTGTTGTAAATAAAATGTTTATGTTACTGTTAATTAGTTATTAAACCAGAACATAAAATCGCCAGCAGGCTTTCGTAGCGAAAAAACTGGACATACAACTGCATTCGAGTGTTCGAAACGAAAACCTCACATATCCCCCGAACACAGTTCATTCCAGCGGAAGTTTGACACATAACATCCGGAGCATAGTCGTACGCGACTTCCGGGCTCCACCAAACTTGTCAGACACAATAAGAACCTTAAACGACAAATCTGTTTATTTTAAAGTTCGCCCAAGCCTCCCCGTTTGTTGTAAAGTCACTCCGAATGCGGAACGCGATGTGTTTGAGTTGTCGTGGCAAAAGAATTGCGCAGCGCTGGATAGGAAAAAAGTATAAATCAACTTTCTTCTTGTTTTTACTAACCGACTTCAAAAAAGGAGGAGTTTTCTCAATTCGACATTTTCTCGATTCGATATTTTTTTGGGTGTTCGGGGATAGCTTCGTCATTTATGAACCGATTCTAATGATTCTTTTTTTGTTGGAAAGGAGATATTCTCAGGGTGGTACCATGATAAGGAAACCAAGATCTGATGATGGTATCCCAGAGAAATCGAGGGCAATCCACAAATGTTATAGGCATTGACAATAATATTTTAGTTTTCTGTTTGAATTCGGTTTTTTTGTTCAAAATTATTGAGTATTTTAAATGATTTTTTTTCTATAAAATTTGGTAGCAGAGCTCCGATGATAAATAGTCAAAACTGTCCACGGTTGCCGAGGGAACGTCACTGTGAAGGGTGTTTTAAAATGACCAGCAGTTTTGTAGCATCTTTGTAATGTCACAAAATAAAAGTCATTATCCGTTACATCCGTAGCAAGCGCTGACTTATCACATGATCAGGGATGAAGAAAAACATCATGAGGAAACCTGCATATTCTCGAAATAATAACTTAAAACAATATTTCGAAGGTATGTGAAGTCCGTCAATCCGCAGTGGGGCTGAGTGGCTACCTCGAAGGCATGACGTGGAAGTGTTAAAATTCTAGCGTTTCGTCTGCTAAGTGAGGTAGCCGGGACCCACTTTATTAAAAGGTGGCAACGTATCTGCAACCGTTAACATCAGGTGAACCGCCTGCTCGCTCGCCATCTTCTCACATAAATGTATTTAAATTACATATTATAACCGCTGCTTACATCTAGTACGGCAGCTTCACTACGTAGTATAAAACAAAGTCGTCCCGCTGTCTGTCTGTCTCCAAGTATGCTTAGATTTTTAAAACTACGCAACGGATCTTGATGCGGTTTTTTCTAATAGATAGAGTGATTCAAGGGAAAGGTTTATTTACCGTACAATGCACCCGTGCGAATCCGTGGCGGGTCGCTAGTCTACTGTATACAAGCTGACTGAACACTTGTTCCTTTTTTTTTATGCGAAAAGTTGCCAAACGAGCAGACGGGTCACCTGATGTTAAGTGAATACCGCCGCCCATGGACATTTGCTACACCCGAGGGTTACAGATGCGTTGACAACCTTTTGAAAATTGGGCTCCGGCTACCTCACTCACCACACGAAACGCGAAAGTATTTGTCATACTTCCACTTTACGCCGGTCTTCTGTGAGGTCGTGGTACTTACCCGGACGGGCCTGCCCATTCGTGCAACAGCCGAGGCTATTGCGTGGCCGTACCACTGTTGAACTACTTGTGTTCATCGGTGAGGAAAACATCACCTACATTGTCTGCCAATCCGCAGTGGGTCTCGCCAAGTATGGTAGTAATACTATAATATATCATTGTAGTATTACTACCATACTTGGTGCCATCTTTTAACATATACATGCATACTTGATAGGGAGAACCAGGCGCAGAGTAATCTGCCTTTCTGATATCCGCCACCCAAGGCGAAACTCCGGCAGTGATTTATCCGTGGCACGTGACACATAAAATATGCACAAGTAATACAGCGGGCGGGAACAACGGGCAAGTTGAAACAACTTGTATTATAAACAGATTACGGCGGGAAGTTCGGCTTGACAAGTTTCGCGGCGGGCTTCGGCCGGGCGAGAGTTGATATTTGTTACGTTATTCGCAGTTCAGGGAAACGTACCGGTCGAAACCCCACGGAATGGGATCCGGGGGAGCACATCTATCGATAGTCATTTTTATTTTTTTTATTTTTTTTATGTGACAAAGTGGCAAACGAGTGCCGTTCACCTAATGTTATGTGGCCGCCTCCCATGGACATTTGCAACACCAGTATGATTGCAGAAGCATTGCCAGCAACCAGTAAAGTGCGCACCGGCTACCTCACTCACCAGACGAAACTCAGAAGTATAACACAATTCTCGCCGGCCGTCTATGAGGTCGTGGTATTTACTCGGATGAACCTACCATCCTTACAACATCGAAGCCCTTGGTCCTACTATAGTTGAGAAGTAAAGACGAATTGAGATGAAATTTAAAATATGCAAAAACTTTTAGTTCATTTTTAGGGTTCCGTACCCAAAGGTTATGACGGGACCCTGTTGTTACTAAGACTTCGCTGTCTGTCTGACAACGAAGTCTTATAGACATCTGTCCG